TGATTTCTGCAGAACGTCTACCCTCAGAGGTCTCGACCCGTTCCCCCTGGGACCGGATTTCCATCCCGAGTCGGTTCCTGACGCTCCCGAGGGGTGCTATAAGGGCCTCCAGAGGCCGAAACTCTGGAAACACCGCCCATCGTGATTCTCTGTTCATTGCCCGGGGGGGGCTGGGATACCCCCCTGTTCAGAAGCCAGGAGAAGGCTGGCACACCAGTGGTTGCTACGACGCAGCAGCCCGTTTATTACGCAACGCGCTGAGATTCCAGAATTTTATTTTTCTTCCGGGAAGACCGTCGTACCAATACCCCCGACGTCATGATGTTTTTGATGACGTCGACCGTCAAAGGTCTCGACCCATTCCCCTGGACAAAATTTTTCATCCCGAGTCGTTTTCGTTTGACGGTCCCGAGGGCCGGAAAGGGCCTCCAGAGGCCGACAATTCGGAAAAACCTCCCGTCATGTTTTTTTCATTGCCTGAGGGCTCTGCCACGGACCTGCCGGCCCTCGCCCAGATTCCAACCTGTGCGCGCCGCCGACCCTCGGCGGCGCCCTCGCGGGAACGATCGCGGTGCTCGCCGGGGCCGGCCCCGGCGGCCGGGTCGCTGCCCTCTGAGCGCGCGGCGCGCGGCGCGCGCGGCGGGCCGCCAGGCTGCTGAGGAGTTCTTGCGGGGGGGCGATGGAGAGACCACGGGTGCCCAGACCCCCTCGGCATTGGGAACAAAAGAAAAAGTCATGGCGGGAGGTTTTTCTATACGTTTGCGGCCTCCGGGGGCGCTCGCCGGGCCTCGGGACCGTCAGTCAACGACTCAGGACGAAAAGCTGGTCCTGGGGAAGTGGTCGCGAGGTGGGGGGCCCGTGTCTCGAAAGAAAAAAAGCGCTGGATTTCGGGGAAGAGTGACCCTTCGCCAGTGACTTTTGGTGCAGGCTCATCGGGGCACCCCCGATCGCTGAGTGCGATGCTATAGCGACTGCTTGCGCGCTTGGATTTGGCCACTCTGCGCTTCCTATAGGCTTAATACGCGCACCAGTTGTCTATCACTCTTGCTAGTGTCGCTCTTGCGTGTAGCCGAGGCCAGTCAAGGCCCCGGATCTCACCTGAGATCCTGGCGCCTCAATCTTGTAAGTTTTTTCGAGCCAGGCGTCTTCGCCCAGATCCAGGCCCCAGGACCCTCACAGATCGATCGGGCTCGAAGAGTGGCGCGGAAAGAAAGGGTCTGGAGCTTGGCCTGGAGCCCTGGCTTAATTTTTCACAATGTTGCACTTTTTTTTCGCTACGCAGGATTTCAGGGGAGGAGAGAAGGCCTCTTAGAAGGCGGCTGCTTCTTAGAAGGCACGAGCCTCACACTTCCAGACCGGGCCCGCGCCTTCTAAGAAGCAGCCTCCTCTGAGAAGCCCCCCACCCTTACCCCCCTGTGCGCGCCGCCTAGGTGTCAAGGGGTCACCTCGTCACCAGCTGCGCGCTTTCGCCTGGGAGAGGAGGAAGAAGGACGAATAAGGAGAAAAAGGAGGCGGAGGAGGAGGAGGAAGAGGAGGAGGAGGAGGAAGGGGAGGAGGAGGAAGAGGAGGAGGAGGACGAGGGAGGAGGAGCAGGCGGAGGAGGATAGATCAAGAGGAGGAGGTGGAGGAGGGAGGAGGAGGAGGAGGAAGAACATCAGAAGGAGGAGAAGAAGGAGGCGGCGGAGGAGGGGGAGGAGGAGGAGGAGGGGAGGAGGAGGAGGAGGAGGAGGAGGTGGAGGGGAGGAGGAGGACGACGAGGAGGAGGTGGAGGTGGTGGAGGAGGAGGAGGAGGAGGAGGAGGGAGGAGGAGGAGGAGGAGGAGGAGAGGAGGAGGAGGGGGAGGAGGGAGGAAGGGGGAGGGGGGTGGAACCATTTTTGAGGCCTCCGTTGGCCCGCCCCTCGCCGGGCCCAGGGACCGTCACCGTCAGAGCACGGCTCGGGAGGAGAAGCTGATCCGGGTCTCCCGGGGAAGGGGTCAGAGGCAATGATGACCGGACCCCAAGACAATAAAGCTTATTTCCCTGAATCTGTGTATCCACGGGATTGAATGTGGTTCATTTGAAACAGCAGGCGGGGAGGCCGAATTTCATGACCCCCTCAAAAGTTTCCATCGTGGCTCTGATTGTGAGGATGTCTCGGGCGAAAGCGATCCACACATCCTAACCTCGATATCTCAAGGGAAATGTTGATTCTTTCGCATGGACCCCGAACTTGATTATCCCCAAGGGAATATTCTCACCAGCATATAGTTAGGGTGGATAGACATAGGGAGGATACATTGACCCCCAATCGCACGTTGATTGTGGATAGGATCTGATATCCACACCCCCTGGGAATTTGCGGGTTCACTATCGGGGGCCTATCGCCGATCTATCGGCGATGCTTCGCCGATGCCAGGTCGGTGTTTCGCCCCCTGCGCCAGTCCCCCCGATCGTTGCCCCTCAAGGGGTCCAGACCGTCTGGGGGTTCACGTGATGGGTAAGAAGTGCGCCGTCAGAGTGCTGGGGACAACCGCGGCCCTCCTTTTCCATTGTTCGCCCTCTTTGGCCCTCATGATAGCTATCGCCACGGCCGGATCCGCCGCGAAGCACCGATCTCAGGACGGATCCTGGGAGGAGTCCGAGGGCCGACTTTGAACAGCCATGGGGCTGGGCGGGAGAGTCGCCGTAGTCTCAAGTGGCCCTTCTCGCGGAATGCGTTCGGCAGCGGCCTTTGATTGAGCCTGCGATCTGGGGCCGTTGCGGCATCATTGCTCGCCTCCGATACAAGAATTCATCTGTAAGTGTTCCCTTTGAGATCATCAGTGATCTGACCCGTCAGCATCGCAGATGTTGCAGCTGAGACCGGTTGCTATATATATATATATATACACACACTTACGTATATAGAGAGGTGGCCAATTCTTGCTCCTGCAATTTTCGAAATTGATGCTGCCAGGATCGGTGCTGGATCCGCTCAGTTTTTGCGCCTGACGCTTCCGTGGGGGCGCGTCGCACGTTTCCCGTAAACGTGGCCGCGCGCGAGCGAACGAAGTGCTGCTCTCGCCTGAGTGCCGCGCACATGTTCCTGAAGGTATCGCTCCCGCGTGGGCGCGGCTCAAGTTTCTTCTTGTCCACCAGGCCCAGCAGAGTCGGATCCGTGCGGCGGGCAGGATTGCAGTCATCATGGAGCAGGATGCAGCGCGGCAAGCGCACGATCACTTCTGCGTGCACGAGCACATGCGCGGTGCCCCCCTGGTGTTCATATCATTCGCACGCGACCCCACACGATCAAAAGAACCCTGTCTTGTCGATGTTCCCGCCTTCTGCGATCTGGATTCGCATGGGAACTCGCACGCCTAGCTGGAGTCAGGGATGGGATTGCGGCGGCCACGGTGCCTGCCCTGCTCGGGCGAGCGCACCAGTACGTCACAGTCGCTGCACGTCTGCCGTCGCACGGCGAAGTGGCCAAACCAATGTGCAAGTGCGAGCGGGCAGTCGAGGAGCAGTGTCGGCGTCGGTGTCAATGCGGTGGGAGAATGGTGGGGGTTGGCGTGGCGCACTGCTGCGCCTGAGCTGCTTCGATTGATGCCATCCCGACCCGTGTTCCTTCGTAGGGGTGGTGTTGCTACTATGGCCCTTGTATGTACCGTATAAGCATATACGTAAACACCATTCTCAGTCCAGACCATTCGTGTGTTTCGCTCCGCCTAGATCGCGCCACCTTGGGCGAGGGACCAGACAAAATTGCACCAAACGGATGTCTACCTTTATTTGGTCCAGGGCAAAATGATTGGTTCCGCCCTGTGCGCGCACTCTTTGGTGGCTGGCCAGACAAGCGCGCCAAGTGGACGCCTACCCTTCTTTCATTCGTTCTTTTCGTTCAGCCTTGCGCGAACAGCCCTGGGCGACCGACCAGACAAGTGTGCGCCAAGCGGAGGCCGTTTCGTCTCTGTCCAGAGCAGTAGTATGTTTCCTTTCGCCCTGTACGCAAACTCTCTTCCCCCTTCCTCGTGCTCCGCATCAGCCTCTTCCTCCCGTCCGACCGCTCCCCCCCTCGGCCTGCACATTTTGCAATGGGCAAAGTAGAACAGAAGCGAATCAGTCCGACGAGCCCCGATCATGTTCGCGAGTCCCAAATCGTGCATCAAGATTGAACGCCCTGGCGCATGGTGATCAACCAGGACTCGAGCGCGCCCAGCGTGCGCGATGCACATCTATATCTAGAGAAGTCCGCGGGGCAAGGGAGCCTCCCCCGCCCAGGGCACCCAGAAAATACTCGAGGCCCTCTCCGCGCCAAAGCTCTTCTCGAACGCTGGGAAGGGGCCTCAGAGACCGCCCGTTTGTGAACGCGTTCGACAACACCCGCAGCGTGCGCGACGCGCGTGGGTGATTCGTGCATCCCTGGAAGGGTACCCTCGGATGTTCTGTGTGGGTTGGCCGGCGGGGGTCTCATGTTCTTGAGAGGAGGAGGAGGAGGAGGAGGAGGAGGAGGAGGAGGAGGAGGAGGAGGAGGACCTTTTGGACCTTTTGGCAAGCACAGCGTGCGAGAAAAGGAGAGGGGGGAAACGGAGGAAGGGAGGCCAAGCACCTGCACCCCTGGTGGCCACTCGTTAGCAGCCACCCCCGACTCCCCTTCCTCCCCGCAAGGGGAGGTTGGAGAGTGGGTGGGTACAGGGCTTGCCCTCCTGGCACGCTGTGCTGCATCCCAGGCGGCGCACGCAGCCACAATCCTCACGTTCGCAATGGCATGAGAGTGGAGGAGGAGGAGGAGGAGGAGGAGGAGGAGGAGTAGGAGGAGGAGGAGGAGGAGGAGGAGGAGGAGGGAGGAGGAGGAGGGAGGAGGAGGAGAGGAGGAGGAGGAGGAGGAGGAGGAGGAGGAGGAGGAGGAGGAGGAGGAGGAGGAGGAGGAGGAGGAGGAGGAGGAGGAGGAGGAGGAGGAGAGGGAGGAGGAGGAGGACGGAGGAGGAGGAGGAGGACGAGGCCTGTACAGAGCACGGGGCGGCGACGGCCCCGCTGCAGGCAGAGTGCACTCCGCCCCGGCCTCAACGGCAGCGGCCTCGTCGCGCGTGGAGGCGGACCGCGCGCTGGAGGCCTCTGCGGGGCAGAGGGCCATTGCGGTCGCCGTTCCCTCCTCCCTCCTTCCTCTCCGCCCTCCCCATCCCTCCTCCTTCCGTCCTCCTGCCTTCTTCCTCCCCCTCCCCCATCCCCTTGTGATTCCCCTTCGTCTCTCCTGCCTCACCCTCCTCCTCCTTCGTCGTCCTTTCCTTTCCCGCCTCGTCCTTCTCTCATACGTCCCACTCGTCTCGCTCCCCTCCTCTCTTCTCCTCCTTCTCCTCATCCTTCCATCCTCTCTTCTCCGCCTTCTCCTCATACTTCCTTTCCTCCGTCTCCTCTCTTTTCCCCTCTTCTCTCGCCTCACTCCTATTGTCGACTCAACGCTCACCGCTGGCATGGCTCGCATAGGCTGAAGCGGCTGCCCAATCCACGGCCTTCCTCCCTCTCCGCCTTCCCCTCCTCCTCCGCCTCCTAACCCTTTTCGTCCTCCTCCTCGTCCTGCTCCTCCCCAGCGGGGCAAGCGCGACTCCAGAAAATGCTTATCTCGTCGTATCATGTGCCCCCTTTCCTCAAGTCATCAATGATCATATTCAACGCGCTGCAGGATTTGGCGCATGTCGCAGGGGCTAGCAAGCCTCTCAGACGAGATCTGGTCATCCTCCCGCTTCTTCCTTTCATGACTATTCAATATAGATTATTCTATCCTCTCTCCTCTGCTCTCTCTCTCTCTGTGTTTCTCTCTTTCTCCGGATCCTGTTCGAGCGGGACGCGTTTTCTCCCGAACATGTTTTTTGGGGTACAGAAGTCCAACAGGTGATCTTTAATCGTGTGGTAGCGTTCGGGGCATTCCTGGTGTTTCATCATGTTGGTCCCGTTGCAGAATTGGCTTCGTTTTAGGATCGACGTTTTGCCCCCGTTGTTCAACATTACGCTGTCGCCCCAACGCAGACCACAATTATGGATCCGAATCCTTCATCGTCGCTGTCGCCCCGCTCCTTTCTCTATTGCCTTGCACTGGTTCTCCTGCTACCCCCGCTCCTCCTACTTCTGCTCCTGCTGCTGCTGTTCCTCCTCGTCATCTTCCCTCCTCATCATCGTTGTGTTCCTCCTGCCCACTATCTTGCTCATCCGCCTCCTTCTTTTTCTCCAACGTGCGCAGCTCGCCTGTTCTGAGTGCTCATAACACGATATGGTAGTTTTGGGGGTTCCCGGTCCGCTATGACATCCGCCCGCGGACAGAGAACCATCAGCGCAATGGAAAGGGATGGGTGTGAGTATGCCAGATTTGGCGCGATCGCACCTAGCTCGTCCTCCACTCTCCTCCTCCGGCCGCGAGTCTGGCCAGCCGGTCACCCCAAGTACAAGAGAGACGGAGCGTCCAGCGACCACCCCGTCGGCACCCGACAAAACGGCCGGGTAGCCGTCTGGGCGCGCCGGTGCGCATCGCCTCCCGATGTGGCACCGGGAGAGCCCCAGACGACCGCATCCCTCCTCATCCCCCAGGCCCCCGACGTCGTGATTTCTCAGCAGCGTCGACCACCAGAGGTCTGGACCCCTTCGCCGGGACCGGGTTTTCATCCCGAGTCCTTCTTGGACGCTCCCGAGGCCCCGCAGGGGTCCCCGGAGGCCGAAAATAGCGAACAAACATCCCGCCGTGACTTTTTCCACGACGCGAGGGGGCCTGCGCACCAGGATTTGCGACCACCCCAGGCAGGCAGGGCAGGCCCCTCCGACTCGGGGCCGCTCTTTTCGTGCCAGGCCGCGCGTGCTCTTCGGCCCCGCGGGGCAGGGAGCGGGGCCAGCCGGGGGCCCGAGAGACCCTTCCGTCGTGGTAGTCCGAAGACCTTTTCGCTCGTGTGCCTCGCCAAACACAGACCCCCTCGGGCAATGAAAAAAATCATGGCGGAAGGTTTTTCCTAATTCTCAGCCTCCGGAGGCCCTCACCCGCTCTCGGGTCCGTCAGAAAACGACTCGGGATGGAAAACCGGTCCAGGGGAATGGGTCGAGACTTCTGAGGGTCGACGTCATGAACACATGATGACGTCGGGGGTCTGGGAACCGCGTTTTTTGTTTTTTGTCGCCATTGTCGGCCTCCAGGGGCCCTCTCCAGGCCCAGGGACGGTCAAGAGACGTTTCAGGATGAAGACCTGGTTCTGGGGAAGGGGTCCAGACTTTTGGGGGGTCGACGTTGTGAAAAAAACAAGGCGTCGGGGGTCCGGGTCCCCTTCCCTCCTCTTCCTGCCCGTCGTACATATTGCCACCGGCGCGAACGAAAGGTGTACGGAAAAACAGAAATGGGCACACGAAGACAGATGGAAACGGGCATGAAGGCCGACAGGAGATGAACGTGACTCGCTGTCGATGTCGCCACGGACGTGGTTCATTCGAGACAGACGGCCGCTTGCCCAACAACGGCCGCTGTCGGTTTGGAGAACATTTGTTTTTTGGACATCGTATCCATATGTGTCCATTTGTTCCACACCCGTTTCGGGCGTCAGAACTTCAGCGAGAAGCATCATATGACTATTCCACGCCGTAGTCGTTGGCAGATTGATTGCTCAGCCGTGCCCTGCACAAGGCCGAGTAGCCGATATGCCTGCTCGTGAGGCTCGCGCAGAGGTTGATGCTGATGGCCATGATGATGATGATGCTGATGATGATGAAGATGATGGTGATGATGATGCTGTTGTTGATGTTGGTGGTAGCATCATCATCAGCATCAGCATCATCATCATCATCATCATCATCATCATCAGCATCATCATCATCATCATCATCAGCATCATCATCATGAGCATTATCATCATGACCAACGGGAGGGAGGGAACGCAGGGGCGCTGCCGTCGCCCTGCGAGCACAACGATCGATGGGCGGGCCGAGGGACGCTGGTGCCTTTTCTCAGGAGGGGGGGGGGGCAGGCGACGCGCCTGGGCCCGCGAGATCGGCGGGGGAAGAAGCACGGGCCACGCGCAGAGGGGGGCAGGGCGAAGGGGGGAGGGCTTCTTAGAAGCCCTGCTTCTTAGAAGGCGCGGGCCGTCTCTGTGTTTGGACACCCGAAATGGATACAAAGAAAAGGGGTACACCTCCGACAGATGTTGTCCAAAGCCGACAGCGGCCGCCGTTGGGCGGGCGGCTCCGTGTCTTCAAGGGGCAACTTCCGCTGCGGCGCGGGCAGCGAGCCCAGTTCAAAATGAACAAGAGAGGCTGTCGGTCTTTGTACCCATTATGTCCGTACCCATTTCGATCGTCCCGACTGTAGATGTGAGGTGGGCGCCTTCCAAGAAGCAGCTTCCTCCGAGGAAGTTGTCCCCGCTCCCCCTTGTCCGCGCCGCCAGTAGGCAGCAGCGGCGGCGACCTCCCAAGGGCGTCCAGAGGCCAGTGAAGGGCCAGCAGCAGCCAGCCGTCCAAGAACTCGCCCGTTCGATCCTCCACCGCCGATGGCAGCAGAAGTCCTGGCAGAAATCCCGCAGTGTCTCTGGCAGCGGCGGCGGCCGCGGGGAGGCGGCGCAGCGCCGATCGGGGGCCCGGACCAGTATCGATGGATCCAGGGCGTTCCCTGGTGCGCTCCCAAAGCGCCCCACAGCGCTCCGAAACGACCGCTGCGCTTGAAACCTCCAGAGCCGCTACCTCGCGGGCACGGTGAGGTTGCCATTGATCTGATTATAGTGTGTGAGCCTGGTGTCGTCCGCCAGGAGTGTGGTATTTTGGTTCATTGCAAACAAACACCTCTGGAGCCGCTGGACCTCAGAGCTCCCAGATTTGTCTCTGTCCGATCTTGTCCAGGCCGAGGCTGCGGGGGTGGCGCGGCGACCGCGGCGGCCTGCGCAAATCGCCACTGGCGATGGGTGGGCCCAGGGGCGCCCTGCCCCACTAGGTGCTTTGGTTGGGGGGGCGGGGGGGGGGGGCGGGCACCTGGGCCTCCCAGATGGTCGGCGCGTAGGCTAGGGGGGTAGGCATCGACCCCGCATCGCCCACGGATCGCCGACAGGGGCCCGATGGCCCCAGCCTGCCCGGAGGCCTGGCGGCGGCCCATCGCCGAATTATCTGCGATGAATCGCCGATTCCCGGTCGATGTGTCCGTCCTCGCCAGTCCCCCTATAGGGTCGGATTTTCACACCTGACGGTCCCAGGTCCCGGCGAGGGCCCCTCGAGGCGGAAGGTTGGCAATCGGCATTCAGGTGGTTGACGTTTCGGGAATAATCACCACCGGCCCATCCAGAAGCGATGCCCAGGGGAGTTCAGCTGCTCAGAGAAGTGAGGAGTATGCAGAGAAAGGGCGATGGAAGCCGTCGTATACCCCAAGAGGGGGAGGATGGAGGAGGAATCGTCGTCGTCGCCGTCGTCGTCGTCGTCGGAGGAGGAGGAGGAGGAGGAGTAGGAGGAATAGGAGGAATAGGAGGAATAGGAGGACTAGGAAGAGTAGGAGGAGGAGGAGGAGGAGGAACAGGAGGAGCAGGAGTAGGAGCAGGAGGAGGAGGAGGAGGAGGAGGAGGAGGTGGAGTAGGGCGAGGACGAGGAGGACGAGAAAGAGGAGAAGGAGGAGAAGAAGGGAGAGTTGAGTACCTCGGGGGAGCTCCAATTAGCCTCCGCCCCCCCCGTGAGCACCGATGATCGCCTCTGGACCACTCTTGGAGCGCTCTTGGGGCGCTCTTGGGGCCGTCTGAGGGCTCTTTTGGGCCTCTCCTGGGGCTTTCTTGGGCCATCTTGGAGCCATCTTGAGGCCTCGGATGGCCATCGGATCACTATCCTCCCAAGCCACTTGGTGCATCAGCAACCCACCAATGAGCTAGGTTAGGCCAGATATGACCCACCTTGGCTTCCACTGATAGCTCCCCTATCCCCTGAGCACCCCCCGCGCCCATCCCAGCAGGACGGGGATAAATTGTTCCAGAGCGTTACGGAACACTCCCAGGGCGCTCCCCAAAGATCCGACGCTCCGGAAAAAAAATGTGGAGCGGGCGATTTCTGGCTGTGTTCGGCCTCCGGGGGCCTCGCCTGGCCTCGGGACCGTCAACAAATTATTCGGGAGGGAAATCCGGCCCTTGGGAAGAAGTTCGGACCCAGAGCTGGATGTCTGCGAAGCGTTCCGGAATCCTCTCAGAGCGCTGCCGAGCGCTCTGAGAAGGCCGTTGTGCCCGACACCTTCTTCATGCCTGGCGGGCCTCAGAGTTCCCCCATCTCCTCCTTGTCCGATGTTGTCCCTGCTCTGGCTTCGTCTTCCAGACCCCCGACGTGATGATTGTTGTCACAGCGTCGACCCCCAGAGGTCTGCATGGACCCCATACTGGGGGCCGGTTTGTCTTCCCGAGTCGTTTTTGAACGGTCCCGAAGCCCGTCGAGGGCCGCCCCCGGAGGCCGAAAATGACGAAAAAACGCCCGTCGCAGGTTCTTTCACAAAGCGAGGAGGTCTGGGTCCGAAGTTGTCCCTGTCCTGGCTTCGTCTTGGGTGGGGGGTCCGCGGCAGCGCTGCGCCTGAGAGGGGGTCCGCGGCTTAGGGTCAGGTGCGGCCTGTCCGACCCTTAGCACACCATCCCCTTCCGTGACGTCCCCCTCGCCTCGCCCCAAGACGTGTATATGCGGCGGCAGGGAAGCTTGAAAAGAGAGGGTGACGTCACGAAAGGGGATGGTCTGCGAGGGGTCGGTTAGGCCGCGCCCGGTACCCAGACCCCCGACGTCATGTTTTTTTCACGACGTCGACCCTCAGAGGTCTCGACCCATTCCCCCGGACCGGTTCCCCATCGTGAGTCGTTTTCTGACGGCCCCGAGGGCTGGTGAGGGCCTCCAGAGGCCGACAAGCAACTTCCCATCCTGATTTGTTTGTTGCCCGAGGGAGTCTGGGTACCCAGAGATCCGACGTCACGAAAAAAATGCAACATCGCTAAAAACCACGACCGGAGCCCCAGACCCCATCTGTCCACGTCATCTTTCGAGCTGGATCGATCTCTGAGGTTCCAGGGGCCCGAAATGATTCGAAAACGCCCGGCTCGAAACGCCAGGATCTCAGGGCAGGGGGGGGGGTCCGCGGCGCCCACGCAGGGCACCTCCGGCAGCTCCGCGGCCGAGCGGGGCGGAGCCGCCGGGGCCGGCACGCGCCAGCAGGCGGCCCGGAGCGGTGCGGGGCCCCTGCGCCGGAGGCGACGAGAAGGGCGAAGAGCTCAGGGGCGGGCCTTCATCCAGAGCTCCCCCTTTTTTTTGTTTTCCATATGTTTAATTCCCAACCATCCTGTGGTGTTGGGTCCTCGTTTTGAAGAAACGGTCCCCGCGTTCCTTCTTCCTCCTTCTCTTCGCCCTCCTCCCTCCTGCGTTCGCATGCCTCCCCACCACCCATTTCGGCACACCCCTCACACGTTTCGTGGCCCCATAGGGAGCTCCACCGAAGGCCCCAGTGGCTGCGTTCGCATGCCTCCCCACCACCCATTTCGGCACACCCCTCACACGTTTCGTGGCCCCATAGGGAGCTCCACCGAAGGCCCCCCCACCACCCATTTCGGCACACCCCTCACACGTTCGTGGCCCCATAGGGAGCTCCACCGAAGGCCCCAGTGGCTCCCCACCACCCATTTCGGCACACCCCTCACACGTTTCGTGGCCCCATAGGGAGCTCCACCGAAGGCCCCAGTGGCTGCGTTCGCATGCCTCCCCACCACCCATGTCGGCACACCCCTCACACGTTTCGTTGCCCCATAGGGAGCTCTACCGAAGGCCCCAGTGGCATGGTCTGCATGCCTCCCCACAACCCATTTCGGCACACCCTTCAAACGCTTCGTGGCCCCATAGGGAGCTCCACCGAAGGCCCCAGTGGCGCGGTGCCTATGAGAAGAGGGGCCTAGTTTGCGTGCCCCCTCCTTCGGTTCATATCCGTGCGGTACTCGCAGCTGCAAATGGTTGGGTTCTTCGCCAGGCTATTTTTTGTATATATATATATATATATATATTTATACATATTTATGCATATGTATCAGATATAATATACCATATTTTTCAAAAAAGACTATACCACATGTGCTATGTACATACAGATAGACATACATTCATCCATCCATCATCCATCCATCCATCCATCCATACAGACAGACAGGCAGACAGCCAGACAGATAGATATACATACGTGCGCACAACTCTATACAAACATACACACACATATTCAGACAAAAAAGCGAAGAGGTTTTCGACATCTTCGGCCTCCAGGGGCCCTCGCCAGGCCTCGGGACCGTCAAAGAACGACTCGGGCTGAAAAGCCGGGTCCCGTTCAGAGGTCCAGGCCTTTTGAAGGGATCGCGTCGTGCAGAACAATCACGACGTCGGGGGTCCGGGTCGCATGATACCCCTCCGAGAGCCTCGCCGAAGACATGGACCGTCGGCGCCGCTGGGTAGATGATGTTTTTCTCTCCCCTGGGCTAGGCGCCCCTGTCGTCGCTTCCGACTGTGGCCCAGGACTCCCAGAGGTGCGGGCGATATTTATATCCACATCCAGTGCGTTTTGGACTTTCTCGGAAGGGGCGCCGCAAGGCCGAGGAGCACGGGATCTGGATAAAACGTCGAGCCTTTGGGGGCCAGAATTTCATCCATAGCCAGTGCGCCTCGGGTTTCTGGGGGAGGGGAGCCCGAGACTCCGAGTTGCAGTGGATATTGCCACAAGCCTTGCCCGCAAGAGGAGCGACGGAAAAAAACGGGGCCATCTGCGCGGGCATGCGCTCGTCAGCGCTCGCGTCTCCATGCGGGGCGCCGCGTTGGCGGCCCGCGTAAGTCGCGGCGTGAGGTACTGTTGTCGTCTTGCGTAAGACCCGTTCCTTTTCGTCGCCATGAATGGGGTCGAAGCAGACCCCGACATGCTCGCGTTCCGAAGCAGTATAATCGGAGGTTCTTCATAGTTTTCGACCCCTGGGGGCCTTTGCTGGGCCCTGTGGCGATCAACAAAAATACTCGGGATGAAAAACCGATCCCAGGGAATGTATCGAAAACTCTCGGGGTCCTCGGTGCCCAGACATTCAGCGTTTTAAAACGGCCTCGGGACAGTCAACAACGACTCGGGGTAAAAAGCTGGTCACCAGGTAGTGGTCGAGAGGTCGGGGGCCGTGTCTCGAAAAGTCGAGACGTCTGATGTTTGGAACGGAGTCGAAGCAGATGGGGTCGGAGAACCCCGCCGCCGCAGCGTCGATGCATCGGCAGTGCAGCTCGATGTTCGGCCCGATGTTCTCCACGCTCGCGTCGCGGATGCATCGGCGATGCCTGTGCAATGCGGCGCAGTCCTCCGACCCCATCGGAGGCTCGGACTCCAGTTGGGAGGCCTTCGTAGGGGGCAGAGGAGAAGGGGGAAGGGGAGGAGGAGGAGGAGGAGGAGGAGAAGGAACAGGAGGAGGAGGAGCAGGAGCAGGAGCAGGAGTAGGAGCAGGAGGAGGAGGAGGAGGAGGAGGAGGAGGAGGAGGAGGAGGAAGGAGGGGCGGGAGCATCGGCCGGGCTACCCTCCCCCGCCTCCTCTCTTCGCTACGCGCAGATCACGACGGGAGGCTGTTCGCCAATGTTCAGCCTCCTGGGGCCGTCGCCCAGCCTTGGGACGGTCACGAGACGCATCGGGGTGAAACTCTGTCCAAGGGGAAGGGCTCGAGACATCCAGGGGTCCAGGCTGTGAAACAGTCGCGGAGTCGGTGTTGGGGGAGGGGGGGGGCGGGGCCCTTCTGGGGGGGCCAAGGAGGCTGCGGCAGGTCTTCGGTCGGTTCGTGTCGGGGTCGCCGCGGCGGCGCCGAGCCCGGGGGTTTGAGGCTGAACGCCGGCAGTGGCCCGAATCAGTCGGGAGGCCGCGATCGTTCAAGGGTGAGCCAGCCACGCGGTGCCAAAAGCCAACGCGGAAGTCGCGACGACACGAACGTGCCGTACCCTTGGATGTGATCTCCCTCCTAGTGTTTCCCCTCACCCGCCTTTTCACCCCCTTTCCCCCCCTCCTCATCCTCCTTAACTATCTATTCGGCGTGCTCTCGGGCTGTCCCTACGTAGCCTTGGACCTCCTGCCCCTTCTCCTTTTGCGTCTTCTCTTCCTCGCATCGTATCGCATCGCGCCTACGGTCTTGGAGCTGCGAGGAAGCAATCAAGTTCAAGGCTGCTTTTTGTTCAGCGCGCGCGGAAAACATCGTGGCTTTCCACCTCATCCGCACCCCGCTCCTTCCTCCTTCGTCCTCCTCTACGGTATTCTCCTCCTCCCGCTCCTGCATATCCCTACCCATGTCTGCTCAACATGTGGCCGGCAGGCTTATCTGTTGCCTTCGTGTTCGTCGCAAGGCCTCTCCCGAACCGCAGGTGCAATGCGCTGGTGCAGCCTCCTGTGTGCATCCGCCTGCCTCTTATTTCTGCAAGTGGCTACTGCGCACGCGTTGTGCCAGCAACAGCCATGGCGCCGAGACGTGCGATCGCGCTAGATCCCGGATGCATGCGCCGATGTCGCAGTCTCGACGCTGTCGCGAAGTAGGCGCGGTAAGAGCGGCGGCGATGGCATTTTCATGAAAGGGGGGGGGGGGGCAAATGGGAGGGGGAGTTATACATGGCCGTTCGACGGGGTCCTTAGTTTGACGGGAAGTTGACCCGTTGATCGATGTATAGGCTCGAGGCAGTTGCGATCCGCAATTCATTCTGACGCTGACTTGGTTCTCGACGAGAGCACTCATGCCAGGCACTCGTTCAAGAGGGCCCTGTGTCTGTAGGCCGAGCGGGGGGACCAGTGCAATACCTGGACCCCCCGTGACCCCCAGGAAACTGCACCTCTTCCCGGGGGCCAATTTTTGATCCTGAGTTGTTTTTTGAGAGTCCAGAGGCCCGGCGAAGGCCACTGGAGGCCGAAAATAGGGGAAACAAATTCTGTCGTCATTTGTTTCACAACGCGAGGAGGTCGTGGGTACAGGACATCGTGCGCGCTGCCCGAAGCTTCGACCGATTGAGATCGCATCGGAGGCATGCAGTGGTTGGCGCTTTGGATGGCCGCGCCGGGCTTGCCTGTAGGCCTGGACCGGGCTAAAGTTTTTGCGTTTCCGGCCTCGCCTTTGCGACCAGCGCCGACGCCGAGAGTTGATGCCAGTGCACGCAACGAGTAGACGATCGACTACAGAATTGATGCACCTCATTGGGATGGATTGCTTTGGATGGCCGGATATACCCCACCTTGTCATCCACTGATAAATCCCGTCCCCGTAGCAATTCCCGCGTCCATCCCACTGCGACTGGCGCCGACGTCGAGAACTCTTGCCAGTGCATATAACGAATAAAGGATCGACTACAGAATTGATGCACCCCCACAACCTCTTTCGCCGAGCATACGAAAAAAATTACGTAGCATGTTCGGAGATTCGAAGACTATGTTGCGCATTGTTCGTAGACTCGACGCACAACAGCAATTATGGGGTACATCAATTTTGTAGTCGATCCACTACTCAGCTTCTGTGACGAGGCGCCTGACGCGTTCCCCCTGAGGCAAGCGCGCAGAGCGCGACGGCGAATGAACGCGGGGATGTCGAGATTTTCAGGGCAGACTTGGGGCCAACTGTGGTATGAGAGTCTCTGACGATGCTCTCCGAAAACATGTGCGGAGTCTTTGTGGTGCTCTCCCGGGTCCCCCCCCCAGCGGTGCCTTTTCGCGTCGCGGCCTGAGCCTGAGAGCTGCCCTTCTCCAAGGTTGCCTCGCGTGGGCACGACGATAACTGCGAGTCACGCATCGCGGGAGGCGATGCGCGAAGTTAGGCGACCCAAGAGATACAGCAGCGGGCGCGGGACCGCCAGCGACACGCGCCCGAAAGACCCAGGCTTCCGACGGCATTGTTTCCTGACAAAGGCTCCCAGATCCTGGATTCTTTTTCCGGGACCCGTTGCTCATGCTGATCCCCTTTCTGACGGCCTGGGGCCCGGCGAGGGCCCCCAGAGGCCGAAGAACTTGAAACGCTTCTCGTTCTGGTCTTTCGTGACCAGCAAGGGGGACCTGGAGGCAGCGGAAGAGGCCAGGCGGGCGCAGCAGGAGAAGGCGCGCCCGCCGGAGGTGTCGCCCCGCGTGGTCCCGCGCATCTGCCTGCCGAACAGCCAGCCGGTCAGGCAGGCCGATCAGGCGCCCGCGGCCGCAGGGGCTGGCGCGGCCGAAGGACGAGCCCGAGTCGGGGAAGCGTGCTGGGATGGGCGCGGGGGGTGCTCAGGGGACAGGGGGGTCATCAGTGGACGCCAGAGGGGTTCTACCTGGCCTAAGCTAGCTCATTAGCGGGTTGCGGATGCCCCAAGTGGCTTAAGAGGGGACAACGATCCAGGCTAAACGGGCTCCGCCCCCGTAGCGGGGCTCTCTAATTAAGCCAATCGGGGCATGTGTAACCCACTTCAAAGTTAGGTTAGGCCAGGTGTAACCCCTTTGGCGTCCACTGATAAACCCCTGTCCCCTTAGCAAATCCCGCGCCCATTCCAATAAGACTGGAGTACGCCGGAACTGGGTTTTGCCGACGCTGTTCGGCAGCGCGTCCTGGATTTTGACGGTCCAGCTCTCGAGGGGTATCTGCAGCGGGAGTTTGCGATGGCTCCGTCAGGCCAACCCGGCCAACCCGAGTCCCACTCGCCCGAGTTTTCCGTCTCCCCGACCGAGGATGTCGACGGCTGGGGCGACGACGAGAATGTTGGTGGTGAAGCGGATTGATCGTCAGAGGGGTAAGAGGTACCGATACCTTTTTTGGGCCTCCTGGGCGGCCCTCGTCGCCACGGCTGGCCAGATTCGCTTGGAAATTCTAGGCAGAACGCACCCCGGGAGGTCCTGGGAGCAGCGGCACCGGCATCGGTACCTTTTGCCTCCCCAGATCGGCGGAGGCGTGGAGATATCCCAGAGTCTTACGGTCGGGGTCTTTCGGTTCGCGTGTCGCTCCGCGGGCTATGGCCCACGCCTCGGCGCGGCACGCTGACCACGTCCCTGTCAGGGGGTGCAAGCATTAGCTGCCATGCGGGCACTCATGGACGGAGGGTTCTGGCATTGGCTTCCATGCAGGCTTTGCGCCATCCTGAACCGGGCATGCGTGGAAGGGGCGTTCAGGTATGAGCTGCCATGCGCGGAGTGCACCATCACGAGGGGGCACGAAGAGAGTGATCTCGGTGAATGGGGGGGGATGCTCGCGAGAGTCAGCTGGTAGAGAGAGGGGTGGTCCCTGATCAGAACTCACAAAAGCTGATCTGGCAGACCCTCGTATGTATTCTTCCACGCCTCAACGTTCCAAGAGGCACGGTGGCGGATATATATATATATATATATATGTACATATATGCACTTACATACATACATACATACATACATACACACATACATATATACATACATACATAAATGCATGCATGTACGCCTGCATACATACATACATGCATACACACATACATGTACACTTGCACCCACATGCGAATCTACATATGCATGTACGAACCCCTAATCAGATACATATGCATATGCAGCAGCATCGACATCGACATGTATACATGTTTGTATATGTATATACGGTACATGTGCACATGTACATAGACATATACGTCTACATATACATATACGTAGACATCACCGTACACACATACATCTATATATATATGCACATGTACATATACGTATACACATGCATCTATATACACACGTATGCCAACATCTACGTACACAACTATCTATAGCCATAAATAGTCATGTGCATGTATACGACTGTTATTGCGTCTCGCGCCATGCACCACAGCCTTTCACGTTGAGAGAGAGAGGGAGAGAGAGAGAGATATAACAAGAGAAACACAATAGCACTATCCTCTTGTTTGTGGTGTCATGCTCGTCGTTTTCTGTCGTTTCTCCCGCCTCCTTCTTCTCATTGGGTTCAGTCCCCTGCTCCTTCTCGCCCTGACCTGCGAAACATTCCCTATCCTCCGTTTCAGGTGTGCTTTGGCACAGGTTCCTCCCTCGAGGAGTCCTTGCTGCGGCCTCGAGATAGCCTCTTGGAAGCTTCCCGTGGGCCGCTGCGGGCCTCCTGGGCGCGTTCTGCAGGCATCTGCGGGGCTTCTCCTCGGGGCCGCCTTTGCCCCCCAGCGCCGCCTCCCTCGAGGACCGGGCCACGCTTTTGCGTGCTGCGGGAGGCCCTTCCCAGCCCTCCTCGCGTTGTGCAAAACTCACTACAGGAGGTTTTTCGCCATTTTCGGTCTCAGCGCGGTCCCGGGGGGGTCCAGACCTCTGGAGGTCGACGTTGTGAAGACATCACGACGTCGGGTGTCTGGGATTGCATGCTTTTGGACTTTCTGAAAACCCTTTGCGGTTGTTCTGGGGCGGTGTTCGAGACTTCCTGGGCAGTCTCCCCCGTCTCCCTCCCGCTTCCTCCTCCTCCTTCTCACGCTGCGTCGGGTTGGGCGCAGCTACGGCGGGCGCGCCACATGTGAAAGCAGCCTGTCAGCAGGCACCCAGTGGAAACCTCGTGTCCCCCGAAAGCCCCATGGGGTCCACAGAAGTCCCGGAGTACATCTTCGGAAAGTGGACAACGAGTTCACCCCAAACCTCGTCAGAGCACTGTTTCTACTTAGCGATCTAGCGGGCGCGCGACCCCCTGACCCACCAACCGATCGCCACGCCGAGCAGACCAGACGAACAAGCAGAGCAGGCAGGCCTCTGCCTCCTGCGCGGTGCGAGCCGCAGCAAGCGTGCGGGCGCCCTCTTCGGGCGGACCCTGCTAATGCCGCGCTGGCCAGAGAGAGAGAGAGAGAGAGAGAGAAAAGAAAAGAAAGAAAGAAATAAATATATGGTTTTAGAGAGAGAGAGAGAGAGAGAGTCAGGGGAACAGTGCACAGCACCAATAATTACTCGACGCAGAAATTATTCATATGTGCACCTCATGTCAGATTCTTGTGGCGTTTCGCTGAGGAGGTCTGTCTATGAGAATCCGGCTGTGAGAGCGAGTCCGCATAGACGACAGGCGCTGCAATGACGACGACAGCGACGACTTCAGTTACGTCATCTTCCTCTCCAGGACATTTTCGAGAAGAGACGCAAGGAAAACAAGTGGAACAGCGAGGTGAAGTTTTTCTCCCTGTTCTCTCCGCGGCAACCTAGGCAATTGCGCATGGCGTTCTTGCGCCTGGTCTCTGGCGTGCTACTCGCGGATTGGGGGTGCCAAGTGCCACGACGGTTAAATCGCGGTAGGAGCGTGGGTGATCTGTGGCTCAAGGCTCTGCCTTGAGTCGGCAGTTTTGCGAGCAACGGCCAGGAAAAGGTCCACATCCTCGTCCTCCTCGTCCTCGTCGTCCTCGTCGTCCTCGTCCTCCTCGCCGTCAATATCCATGGACACGCCCATGGTTGAGGAGGACGAATTCAAGAACCGGGACAGGCAGGGCCTGACGCCACGGAAGGAGGACGACCCAGCGGACGAGGATATGGCGGCCAAGGCGCAGGCGGGCTACATGAAGATGATCTTCGGGGCCATACCGATCGCACAGTGCGTGTTTGCCATTTCCACGTACTTCGCGTGCCGCCTGCTTGGCATGAAGGACGCTCTGGACACCAAGTTTGCCTTCCTCCACGACCACGACCTCGGCTACGTCTACCTCGCCGTCTACATTATCGGCCTGGGCCGGGCGCGCATGGCGGTCAATTCGAACGCCATGAGGGCCGCAGCCCGGGTGGACCGCCCAGACCAGCATGTGTACAAGATCATGACCCCCTCGGGCGAGACGGACGCGCCGTACGTGCTGATGGCCAACACCGGTTGGGTCGGAAAGTTCAACCGCGCTCAGCGTGGCGCCTTCAACACCGACGAGCAGATGCCGATGGTGCTCATCAACACAGTGCTTGCCGGCTGCGTCTTCGGCCCAGTGGTGGTCTTCACCGCTCTGCTTGGCGCGTACGGCCGCGTCAAGTTCGCGCTTGGCTACACCGCCGCGACGAACTCCCGCATCGGCGGCTTCCTGCCGGCGATCATCGCCGAGAACTGGGCCGCTGGCCTCGTGCTCTTCTCCGGGGTCAAGGCGGTCGTCGGCGGCCGCTTCCCCTTCTGAGGGCAGGCGTCCGAACCACGGCTGCCTGATTGGGCTGACGCAGCCGACCGAGGCGGCACGTGTCTCAGAGAGGGCCTCGCCAGCTTTGGAGCCGGTTGGGGGTCTGAGGTGGCCCAGCGCTGATTCTGGCCAGCAGTCGCTGGCTCAGCGGTTGGCACCAACACCGCTCCGCGCTTGCCTCCTGGAGATTGCCTCCACTGCTCTGGTTCGGAGAACTCGTGCTGTACGCGGCCCTGGATACACGATGGGCGCAGCGAGCATGCGCGCAACTGACCTCCAATGCTGTCGGCAACGCGGGGGAGTGCCGTGCGCAACAGAAGTGTCGGCACTTGCTTCCACCGGGGGTGATTCAGGAGGGAAAAAAAAAAAAGAGGAGCGTGGGTGATCTGAGCGTGAGCGAGTCGGTGTGTGAGTGGATCCGGGTCTGGTTGAGCCTGGGGTATGATATTTACTGTGAATACGAGTGACTTTGAGTATGAAGACGACTGCGAGCGAGTCTAAACGCCAGTGGGTCTGCGTGTGAGTGAGTCCGAGTGTGGGTGAGTTTGAGTTTGAGTGTGATGAATACAGATATGCGTACGACTGCGAGTATGCGTGAGTCTGGGTGCGAAGTTGTCGGAGCATGACTGAGTCTGACGGCTGGTGAGTGTGAGTGTGAGTGTGAGTGAGTGTGAGTGTGAGTTGGCTTGGGCGTGGGTGAGTCTGAGTTTGAGCGAGCCTGAGTATGAACGAGTAAGTTTGTGTGAGTTTAAGTATGATCGAGTATGATAATCAGCGGCTTCGAACGTGGTCTGATTGATGGAAGGTGCGGATGAGCAAATCCGACTGCGAACGATTGCGTCTAAGTTGGGGAAGTAGGACGGAGGTGGGTGAGTGATCGACGGAGCGAGCGAGTGAGTGAGGAGCACGCACATCCAAAGACAAGTCCACGGGGGGCAGAGACAAGCAAACCGTCTGATAGCTCCCCCCAAGTTGAACGCGAATTCAGAAATGTCCCACCCATAGCAGCACCGTTTGTGGGTGGCCAACTGACACGCCTGCAATTTCGCGGTGAACAATGGACAACCAAACGAAACAAATGTGGGGAGGGATTCGCAGAAACAGGCAAGCTGCTTGAGACATCCCCACAAGTTTGGCGCGAACTTTGGTGTGTCCCCGCCCTTGGCGGCTTCCCCTCGGAGTGCCCAAGTATCATGCCTGCTATATCGCGGTGGGCATTGGATTACATCAGCGAAATACGGGGGGGGGCGGCAGGAACAGGCAAACCGCGTGAGACACCCCCCGCAATCTGGACGCGAACCCGGGAGTGCCCCCACCCGTGGCGGTTCCGCCCTGCTGTGCCCACGTGCCGAGCCTGTTAGATCGCGTTGAACATTGGACCACCAAGCGAGAACAACATGTGATGCAGAAACACGTAACCCGCTTGAAACATCCCCGCCGCTTGCTTTGAAAGCAAAGTGCGATTGGACACACAAGCATGCAACCGCCAGAGGCGTCCCCACAACTCGGTTGCGAATCCACGGGTGATCCCACCCCTCCTTCCCCCCACATATTGGCGCCCAAGTTCCACGCCCGTGAGATCGCGGTGGACATTGGACCACCAAGAGATAAACGTCTGGGAGCAAGAAACAGGCAAAACGCTTGAGACATCCTCACACGCTGTTCTGAAAACAGAGGATGTTGGGCACGCGAACAGGCAAACCGCAAGAGAAATCCCCGTGCTGTGGTCAACTGTTCCCACCTTTGGCGCCTGGCGCCCCCCCTTGGGAGTGCTGAGACAAGCGCCTCGCCTGAGACATCCTCGGAACCTGCTCCGGCAGCTGAATGTGCTGGGCACGCACACGGGCAAACCGCTGCCACAATCTGGGCGCGAATCCTGACATGTTCCCCCTCGTGGCGCCCCCTCCTTGGGGTGCCCAAGCGCTACGACTGCGATCTCGCTGTGGGCACTGGACCAAAACAAGAGGAAAGTCTGGGGGCATAAACAGGCAATCCGCCTGAAACCTAAAGTTGCGGTTGCAGCAAAGGATGTTGGACACGCAAACAGGCAGACTTCCTGGGATACGGCCACCATCCAGGTGGAAATCTTGGAATATCTTCACCCCTGGCGCCCCCCCCGCACCCGTATGAGTGCTGAAACCAGCGGCTCGCCTGAGACATCCTAAGAATTTGCTCCGAAAGCAGGGGAGGCTGGGCATGCAGACAGGCAAACCGCTGGAGAGATCCCCACAGTGTGGGCGCGAATCCTGGAGGGCCCCCACCCCTGGCAACACCTCCTCGGGGTGGTCAATTGCCACGATTGCTGTATCGTTGTTGACATTGGATTGCCAAAAGAGAAAAGTCTGGGGGGGAGGCATAGACAGGCAAAACGCCTGAGGCATTTTCAAACGTTGCTTAGAGAGCAGAAGATGTTAGACACGCAGAGAGGCAGACTGCCTGTCCCCACAATCTAGGTGTGAAGAAGTTCTAACGGGAATGTCCCCACCCCTGGTGCCCCCCCATTAGGAATGTTACAACCACCGCCTCGCCCGAGATGTCCTCGGAATTTGCTCCGAAAGCAGAAGATGCCGGGCATGCAAGCAGGCACACCGCTGGAGTCCCCTGGGGCCCCTTCTTCGGGGGGACAAGATGTCACGCCTTCTTTATCGCGGTGGGCATGTGACCACTAATGAATATGAGTGAGTCTGAGTCAAAGTATGAGAGGAGGACGAGTGTGAGTCAGTCTGAGTGTGAGTGAGTCCGGGAGTGAGTGAGTCTAAGTGTGCGTGAGTCGGAGTGAGAGTGAGTCTGAGTGTGAGTGAGTCTGAGTGTGATTGGATATGAGTGTATAGAGTTTGCAGTATGAGTGGCTCTGGATGTGAGTGAGTCTGACTTTGAATGAATCCGAGTGTGAGCGAGTCACATTGGTGAGTCTGTTTGTGTGAATGTGAGTGTGAGTGAGTCTGAGTATGAGTGAGTACGAGTGAGTCTGGGTGTGGTTGAGTCGCTCCTCGTTGGGGAAGAGGAGGGAGGGAAGGCTGTGAGGAGGAGCAGGGTTGGTTTATCCTCGGAGCCGCCTACGTAATTTCAACATCCCCATCTGAGGGTGTGGTGAACAGAAAGTGCAGCAACACAAACAGAGCAGATCAAGCAACACTCCTGGCCAGGGCCCCGTGCGAGCGTCGACATCGATACCCCCAGCTAGGTGGGGTGCCCGTGGGGGACGAGCTGGCCCGCAGGCCCCCCTCATGGGCAACCCGCACTATGCGCACCTCGGCGACGACCACGACCCGGACAACGTCTGGGTCGCCGTCCCCGACGCGGGGGCGCTGGCGAGCGTGCTGCCCGGGGCTCGGGCGGAAGGGAGGCACCGCTCACCGCCCACCGAACCAGCCCAACCCAGCACGAAGGCCCCGATTTGCCTTCCATTTCCAGTGGGGGGGGTCGGGGAGCATCGACAAAACACATATGAAGACGGGTACCCCCCCCCAACTCGAGATTCGGGTCTAATTCGGGTCTTCGGGTTTGGTCGGGGTGGTCTGCTAGGTAGTCAACCGCGCGCGCACACCCTCCTTTGAGATCGGGGCAACTTGTTTTTTTTGTTAGCGCCGGGCGCTTTCTCCGCTCAGCGCCGGGCCCCGAGACCGTCACGCATCGATCTGGTTCGGAAGAAATGCCGCAGGAAGTGGGGTCATACATTGGGCATGCGGGAGGCCTCTCGGGTGGGGTCCAAGTAGATGGGCTCGGAGGATCGCGCCGCATTGCCGATGCATCGGCGATGCGGCTCGGTGTGGGTCCCGATCTTCTCCACGCCGACGTCGCCGATGTATCGCCGACGTCGCGGATGCATCACGGATGCGTCGGTGATGCAGCGGCGATGTGGCGCGATATTCCGACTTTTCGATCCGACGTCTTACAAAAATACAACATCGCGAAAAATCGCGACCGGAGCCCCAGATCCCATTTTTCTGCGCCATGCCACAAGCTGGATCGATCCGTGAGAGCCCCAGGGCCCGAAATTGAGCGGAACGCGCCCGGCGCGAAACACAAGCACGTTGCCCTGAGCTGAACACGTCCGGCTCGGAGAAATTTCGAAGCCAGGATCTCAGGGGACCCCACTTGCTCCCGACCCCCCGACTTCACAAGGTCGACCCCCAGAGGTCTCGACCCGTCCACCCCCAGAGGGCTGGACCCCTCGTCTGGGCGAAGCGGCACGAGGGAGCCCTGTACTTGTCTGCGACAACTTGGGTTCTCGGGATGACTGCCTGGTCCCAGAAAAGCGGTCGAGAGGTCAAGGGCCAGTGTCTGAGGCTAGCTGGTCAGGTTGCCTGAGCCGACGACATTCTAGGCCTCCTACATGGGGTCGGAGTAAATGGGGTCGGAGGATCGCGCCGCATCGCCGATGCATCGCCGATGCAGCTCGATGTGGAGCCCGATTTCCTTCACGCCGACGTCGCCGATGCATCGCCCACGTCGACGCCTCATCGCCGGTGCATCGCCAATGCATCGCCGATGCATCGCCGATGTATCGCCGATGTATCGCCGATGTATCGGCGATGCAGCGCGGTCCTCCGACCCCACCTACTCCGATTCCATCTAGGAGCCCTCTAGATATTAGCCAGCGTGGCAGTGCGGGCCGCCGCGACTCTCTATACGGAACCTGGGCGCAGGACCAGCAGGAGAATTGCCGGCCAACTCTCTGGCGGGGCGGATCAACGGCTGGGCCGGGGATGGGAAAATCAAGGTTCGATTATAGCCCTGCCCGCTTGGCGGTTCGTCCCGAGTCGGTTCTTGACGGTCCCGAGGCCCGGTGGGGGACCCCCAGAGGCCGAAAATAACAAAACACCCCCTGTCGTGCCGTGTTCCTGGCTCGAGGGGGTCTGGGCTCGGCCTCCGTGTGGGAGTCGGGAGTTGCCAAAGGTGCCCTTGGCCGAAGGTGCCTCCGGCCTTTCGCCGCGCTCAATTTTGGAGCCCCTGGG